TTTTGAAAGAAAAGATTTTTCATATGTTTTACTAATTGATCTGCAAGCTGAGTCGATACTTTTTGCCGGTGAGTGTAGACGTCATTTAGTGTATTGAATAATCTCGTCTTCTGTCAGAGCGAGTAAACAAGTGATATGCTAATCTAAATAAGAGTTACGTTTTTAGTATTGATAAACGCCATAATGTGTGTAAACTGAAGAATTATTGTGTGCAATAAGCAGATTCAGATTGTGAAGCAAGCGTTAATCCAAAGTTAAGCTTTGGTCCCATTGACTTGACGTTGACTATGTACTTTATGTAATCTTGGGCAAACGACCATTACCACCCGTATGTTTGTTTTTATGTTGAATACACATAGTTCGAAGGGCAATCTTTGTATAAAACGCGGTATAAAACCATACACGCACGAATAAAACACCCATATTTCTTCGGCGGAACGAATTTTACTTAGCCAACAATGTAAAATTGTTGACAGTTTTATGTTGACCATGTTGCAAAGGTTCAAGTGGGAAAGGAGTCAAGGTGGGCTACTTTTGCAAAAGACAAGTAATAAATATAGAAACCACGTAAACAAACGCGTTATTCTAAAATAGTTTTTCAATTCACGCGCATTTTCTTCGCAACACATCGTACGTGTTGTCGTCGAGGCTGGGTCAATGTCCAGGAAATGACGGCATATTTATCAGTTTATTGTTAATTGTTAGGTAACGATAAGTTATCTCTGTTACAACCCACTCTGGGATTTGACCCATTTCGATTTCACCATAATCCAAAGACAATAATTTTAGAGACTATACCGAATATGACAACAAGCATTCTATCACTTGAGTACTATCGAAAAGTTACATTTTAACGCCTAATTTTACATAAATTCTACTACACTTGGTCTCTTGCTATTGCTTACTTAGATATATTATTAACCCAGGAATCTTCATCAGAAATAACATTCAGAGTTCTAGAGCCACTCTTTCCTGTAAGATCGAAAATATGATGCATTGTTATTTAGTTCTTATTGCAAACTTACTATAGTACAACAACTCAATCTTTGACGCTTTTAATAACAAAGATTATTTGAAGACTGAATATCGCATGATGGTATACTGTTGTGTCTTCTTTTATTTCTTTTCAAAAACTTTAAATTTTTTTTATTTTTATTAGTAATTCTTTATTTTGCATATTTTTTGTGTGTGATATAAAAACCCACTCTTGGAAGTAGGTTTTTCGGTTGGGTGTTCTTGCCGAAATTTCTTTTTTTACTATCGAATGTTAGACTTGTACTTAGTGAAGAAGCACCGCTAATGATGTGAAATGGGTTGATTGTAAAACGACTGATAACACTTGTAGCCTTAACTGCCACCTCAAAACAACGATTGCATTAATCGTTATGACTGTACGTTTAGCAAGTATTAGTTTTATTATATCTTTGCTATAACTTATTATTAAAGATGAATAAACGGATGTTTATTATTTTAATCCTTCGTTTTTAAGATAAATTGCGTTATTAAAGATCCAGCGTGATAATCAGAAATGGACGTGTTTCCTCACACATCGTCCAATCTATTAGTAATTGCACACGTGTTTGCTTGTCATGTGAATACTAATACGTAAATTTTCTTGTAGGTATTGCCGACCATGGCAATAACGGAGCCAACATATAGAATGTTTGTTTTCTGGACAGGATGATGATATGAATTATCAACATAAGGATCTTCCATGTAAGTAATAATGATGTTATATTTTACTAACTCACGTCCTAATATTGATTTATCCATCTAAGCGCGTAATCATTCTCCCCTTATTGCAGTTCGATGTCGGAAGGGATTTATTAATGAAACTGTTGTGGAGCAAAAATGGTTGGTCTTTAAATAATAGTCGATTTGATTGTTGTATCTTATCCATTCCCTACTAATATGATGGTATTTTATCAGACGCCATAGTCAGAGAGGCTGTATTAGTAATAAAAAGACTTCTCCAATTAAGACCACATGACAATGTAGAAATGATAACGCAACTCGCAAAGGTCCTCGATCAAATAATCGTTCCCATGGCCCGCGCTTCCATCTGGAAAAAACTCGAGTTAGTTGCACCAAACATCCTTCGCAAAGCTGCTAAGGAGTTTTCTAACTCGGATGATGTTATCAAATTACAAGTAATTACTTTGGCTCCTAAGCTTATTTGTTTGCATCCGACAGACCATACACGGGGATTGTTATACGAGTATATAAAATGAATTTGGGCGCGATATGACGTGAATTACAATATCTGACATTAGTTTACTAGATGAATTTGATATTTCAGGAAGAACCAGCCCGTTTTGGGAAAGACCACCGCACACTCTCAGATGATTCCTTGGTAGTTGCGGACGTCAAAAACATCCATATATTCCAAGACGCACCATTCGGTAATATTATTATGTTACTGTTTGCAATTTTTCCTGTGTCATTCGCAAGGCATTCAATTGACTGCTCCAAATACTTCACAATTCGTAGATCCACAATCATTTGCAGGCCGGAAACTCATTCCAATGTAGGAGTACAGATCAATACCATGGTTAGGATAAAACGACGAGAGATTGTAAGAAGAGATCATCCTGGAACAGATCAAATGACGATGGCTGGATCTTTGCTGGGTTGTGTTTGTGTGGTGAGTGGTCATGGGCGAAAATGTGAGGAGGGCTGTGTGTTAGTTAAGTGGATCAACCAAAGATGTATGCTAGTAAGCCAAGTGTAAGGAATATTAATGGAATTAAATAAATTGTACAGGAACTCTGAATGGCAGCATCGGAATGATAACACCAATATCGGAGAAGTTGTGTGCACAAATGGTTCGAAAATTCTGGTTAACAGCGTTGCGTATACTTTAAGCTGTAAGTGAACTGCATATAATAATATGGAAATCGCAAAATAGAATTTTGAAAATGCTTGTGTTAGACTTTAGCAATTATGAACTTTCCTATTATTACTGATTGTCATGTCAATGTCATTTAACTTCTAGGACCGGAGGATTTTCTTGGATTCACGAGCGTAAACGCGAATGTCTACAATGCACACTATTCCGTCCAGACCAACGTTCCGAGGTTGAATAGCAAACTGATATGTGAAACCGAAGAGACCACGGAGGAATAGGCAGTAGGGAAATTTCATCGAATCAAGAAAGGAAGTTCAGAAGAATTTATTATTATCAATAGTTAGGCATATTTTGTGGCTGACATGGATGGTATAATGGTATACCATGGTTAAGAAGTAACAAGGACAGTTACAATGCTGACTAAACATTTAAGACAAATGGATGGATTGGGAGATTTTAGTTGAATCTACAGATTCCTATAGCACAGACGCGCTCTGCTAATTATTACATTAGGAAGGTAGGAAGGATAGTTAGTAGTGAATGAGAACTTTGGTAGGTTAGAGTTGAGGGAGAGTAATAATGAGATGAAGATCTGGACTAGCGAAAAAGGTGAATATGGACTCAGCCAGTATAATGTGCTCACATAATGCTGCTGCTGCCATTAGGAAGTATTAGATTGTCATCTCTGATAATAATAGAGCTACCAATTATTTGTCTGAGAAAGTTCCCTAATAGTGTATGATAAAAAGAGCGTTGTTATCTAGCATTCCATCTCCCCATTTTTTTGCTCGCCAAAAATGCGATCCAACGAATACGAATTCTTTCCCTAATCCTTTTTAAGTCTTCCTCTTGCTCTTGCTCTTCCAATCCTCATTCTTCTATTCTTCTTTAACATAAATACTGCGCGAGTCTGGAACAAGATGTACAGTAATGAAATATTAATATTGATACTTAATCGCAGTAAAATCGGTATATCTTAATCTTGAATTGTTGAGAACATTCAATTGTTCCTCGTCCTCATAAACTTATTTATATAGCAATAAACCAACGGACTTTTCCTTCGGTAGAAACCACAGATATAACGGATCCCATAGCTGGGGATTTCTTGTATTATAATGATATGAAGATGAAATAACTGAGATTAATGTTTATGAGTTTACCTGTGAAATTGAACGTAACAGGATTCAGCTTTCATCGTAAATTTGCTATTGTTGATTGAGGATCAGGAAGAAGGAAGGCCTGCTGTATTCCCAAAAGAACTCGGAACACGAATTAAAGTTAATTCTTGGTATTGGCTGCTCACGTGATAGCATATCGCGACGAAAGATCACCACTAAGCTTTACGACAGTTGCACATTTATCCTTATTCGATTGCGCTTTATTAAAAGTCGGCAATAAACAAATTATAGTGGGACACCTATTTTAGGGAAATCCACAGCTTTAGAATGTAACTGTCTTACTTTCCCTTTTTCGTCAATTCAAGGCTCCTCTAAAATAAAGCCACCAAACCTAATTCCTGGCTCGTTATCTAGAGGTAATTTAAGTTGTTTTCATAAAAGACAATAGTTAAATGGTCTATAAGCCGGTCTCAAGTTTCCAATCTTTCAATACTTCGTGGGTTCATTCAAGTTTATTAATTTTGCCAACTATTGAAGTTAGTAGAACAACTACAGCATTATTGTCTATTAAGAAGGTATCGATTTTACAAACTCTTTCTTGTCATTTTACTGATAAACTTAAACTGTGCACACTTTAAATTTAAACTGTTGAATGCGTTGGTTTTGTACTGTTTTTTTTGTATACAATTGCAAGTCGCAAACAGTTTCCGTGCATAGCCTGCTTCTTTATCCGCATGTTCCGCGTGAGCATTTGCTGTTCGTCGTTGAACACGTAATTCACAAAGAATTTTTTGATCATAAAGTACATGGCTATTAATCTTCTATCCCAAATTACCGTAAAGTCGTCTCTCCATCCAAGTCACCCCCACTACACATGTTGGTAAATATCTATGTCCATTTGCTGGAAATACCAACCAAATGTTTGAGGTTAACAGGTACCCGTTATCACTTTCCTCACGGATAATTATCCGGGTCTGAGATATTTCATTTTCATTCAGTAGCTTGGTCTCGTCCAACACCCCTAAAAGGAAGGCTCCAACGTCGACAAATATTTTTGCTTTGGTTTGAGATCATGGAGGCATGATATGCAAATAAATTGACCAATTAAGGGTCCTGTTGTCGCATAAAACTCGCTTTGACTATACCAGCTAATCGACGTAAAACACCCCATTCGTCAATGCACCGTGCATGGCGCTGTGTTCGTTTTTCTAGCATTCGATCGAGATCTTCTACTTGTGCATCTTTCATATCCATGAATACTGAATCGGGGACTTTAAGAGTGGACAGGAGCGTAATGGCTTGCCTGTTCAAATATGCAGGTAAAAATGTCGACGCTCTATCACTTCCAGCTCCGTATGTGGCGTATCAAACTTGTGTTGACTCGGCCGCACTTGAATTTGCTTTCCTCGGACGTATGCAGACGTGCAAAAACATCTTTGTATCCGCCAAGACGGAATTGAACGGCAGGAGTGCTTTTTAAATCAAGAACTTTGGCAATTAATGGTTTGAATATCGTTGACAGGTAGATGAGTCACGGAGCGAATGCTCGAAAAGCGCTGTCCCATGCGTGCAGCGCATTTTGCCACTACGTTGATGTTACTTAAATCTCCCATCCATTCGCGTATGCCATCAGCGCTTAATTCCTTTGCGGGGGCAAAGAATCAGCAAGAGCGATCTCGTAGCTGGCTTGAAGAGAAGGCCAAAAATTCGTAATACCTATTTCCCATCTTAATCCCATTCACAAGAGTACGATAAACCCGATTGCAGATTGAGACTTCGTTCTCTCCATTAGTTCCCATTTTCATCAGTGAATTGGACCCTTAGAAAATGTTCTTTGTAATGTCTTATTATTCTATTGCATGGCTGGCGGCAATACAACCATCTTAGAAGGGATAATAACGACTTTTCGCATCATGAGACAACGGTGCCGTCTCTTTTCGACTGTCACCTCCTTGAAGTTTTGCAACTTGAAGCTTCAAAAGAGAAGAGGATCATAAATTCTATGTTTACGCCGATAGAACCTATCTAAAATGGTAAGAGCTGTCTCTTTCTTTTGTCGAGAATTCGTCATTGAGATTGTAATCGTATAAGAAATCATGTGTAACATTGCATAAAGTACATCAAAGTCCAGCATTGCTCTGCCGACGTATTTTTTCAGATTGCTTCCGTCAACCACCGTTATATATCTGGAAAACATGGCCTGCCTTGATACAAGATTGTAACCAGCAGCTTGTAACAACACGTCTTTAAGCCTGTCGACGGGTCAGGAAGGATAGTTTTGGCGGATACTTGGTTCGTATTGTAGTTACCGCGCGAGATTGATTTCTCCGTGTATCGAGTTCATCCTCGACGTCTCCGACAGACGAAACTTGTGTATCTACGTCCGTTCCCTTCCAAATAGGAAATCTTGCTCTCTTGAGACATTTTGCTGGGGTCTAGGAGACCGTGTAATTTCTACCCGCTATCGCCTACCATGAAATGTTGGTTTCTGTTCCCAAGACGCTGTTGCTGAAGATCTTCAGTAACGAGGACAGGATAAATTAAATATTTTGATATTAATGTTCGTATCATTGTTACTTAAATCAATCAAACATACATATTTAATTGACACGAAAATTACCTATTACTATATTAATATACAACGTATACTGTCCCAGTAAATACAGTGCCCGACTCTTCTGTCTCCACAGAGGAAAAAATTCCTCAACCCGGTCAAAGTAGCGGAGCGCTAATTGCTAGGTTTAATCGCTGGTGACCATTGCGACTATTGCCACCACCACGGCCATATCCACCGCGGTTGCCATAATAGCAATTTGCGAATAAAGAGTATTATCGTTATTGGGGCATTGTTAAGTGGAAGAAAGTTGTTATCCGGATAATGTCGGAGACATGAATTTATACGTTTCCGCCAATTTCCTTTTATAGAATTTTTTGAAAGGGCTTATCTCATGGTTCACAAGAAAAGAAATGAGCGAACAATGACATTATACTAGCAAGTTTAACTGAATTATAAAGTATTAGTATAGCATACTAATCAAAATCATGCCTTCATCTTGGTAGCATTATCAATAAATAAAGCGTGTCCTTAGCTCACATACGTTTCGACGTAAGCACTCTTGAAGTCTTGAATATAGTTATTGAATTTTCGAAGCCACATGTATAGACAGAATGCTTTTAAAGTTATTAACATGAACATCAAAGATTCAATCCAATATTTTTTCTTTCCTATATCCTTTCTAGATCTGCACCTTGAAACTCCGCTCATATTTAACCTACAAAAGCTGTTATTCAATACTGTAACTGTCTTTCATATATTTCTCAGTGCCTGATGCAGCATCATAATGGCCAAGCTATCGATTATATACATTCGATGATGGAATCCACATCATAATCGTGAAACTATCTTCCCTCATGCATGTAGCCTTATTTCCTACATTTCCTAGCGGCTAGTACAGCTATGTCACATTATCCATCTAGAACATTGCATCAAAGTAGTTGAATAGATAAACAAGAACTATAATGAGAGTTGAAATAATATTGGTTAATGGGATGTTACCAAAAAATCACAATATATGGTAAGATTTCATACTTACTGTAACCCTAATATCAAATATGAGAAATTTTCGGGTACCGTAGTTTCGCTGCTTACCTGCAATTCAAAGTTCCTTGTGGATTTCACTAGTGAAAAGCGTGAACATTACAGTATTACAGAGGAAACCATCTATCCATATCGTTTTCGATTCCACGGAATCTGCAATCTTGCATTTAGGTAAGAAGATAACCACGCGTCTAATCGATTTGTTCAGTTAAAAAGCCTAGTATCAGGACGATATTTCCTTACCATCTCTTCTTCGACCAATCTATTGGATAAGCCTAAAGGATTCGCAAATCTATTTTCGAGCAAAACGCCGAATGCCATTAACCATTTGTGCGTATAATAACTCGTGTAATAACTGCAATCTTTCTCTGGTGTTTGTGTTATATCTCCAATGCTGCCATCTAGAGTTCCTGTCCCAATTTATTTGACCCTATTAATATCCCACATTTGGTTTTATCTTTCGCCCACCCGGTTAGCTAGCACCCGATAGTCTCCACCTTTTCTCCATATTACTACTCACCACACAAACACAACTCAGCAAAAGATCCATACTCTTCGCCATTTGATCTGTTCCAGAGTTATCGCCCACTATAATCTCTCGTCTTATCCTAACCAGCACATCGGTCTGCGTTACCACATGGAAATCACCTTGACGGATGGGTTTTGTCCTGCAAACGATTGTAGATCTACGAATGGTGAAGTATTTGGAGTATCAGTCAGTTGAGCGTCTTGCGGAAAATTGCAAACGGTAACATAATATTACGTGAATGGTATATTGGATGTTTTTGTCGTCCGCGGTGACAAGTGCTCTGTCATATCTAATATGAAATTGCTGCAATTACTGAGAGTTTTTCCAGAAAAAAGGCTGATTTCTAAAATATCAAATTGATATAGTAAACTAATTGTCAAAAATATTATATTCATCTCTTAGTGTTGGTGATCTACTTACCTGAAAACCTAAGAACCAAACTTAACCGGCCGTTGTCCCGACTTAGTGATATGTATTTCCTCGTATAATTTGCATGAGTTGCCTTCGGTCCAACGATAGCAGAGACGGGATCGCTTTTTATCATTTTTATTGAAGATTACAAGGAAACGGGAGCCAGTCGAATTGGAACGAAAAGACTGTAGGCGTTGTGGACGTGGTCGATGTGGTTGGATTAAGAAAGTTATTATAAGTCTCTATATATGATAATCACTAATGAATGTTCCTTCTTCGTTTGAACAACTCATACCATCGTCCTTATGGTTTTATCGAACATCCTTCCATACTACTCCTGGCCTTGCCAAAATCAATCTCCTTCGTCAATCTGTTTAGACAGCTCCAGCCATCTCTGGCATTCCTATTGCACACCGCCCAATGGCCTGAATTGCCGAAGTAGCAAAATCTTTGTTCGGACTTTTCACATATTCCTAAATGCAAAAGAGTGGGATTGATCAATAAATGTCTGACACGTTTTATAAGAACACGAAGCTGTTCAGAGAAATGTGATATTACTTTTAGTCGCAATCATGTCATTATAATTTCAAGTTACGAATAAAGGCAGGGTCAGTCGATCTAACAAAGAATTGCTGGAGATGGGACTCAAACAAATTCTAAATAAAAGAAAAAGTATAATTAATAAGCACAGCATTTGTCATATATAATATTTTCTCGTTACAGTCTTATACGCACCGGCTGCTGAGTCGCTATCATCATAATATTCTTGAGAACAACGTATTGTATCTCCCGATGATAACGGAGTAGTTTGACCAGTGACTTTCCCATTTTATATGTCTCTTGTTGGTGCAAGATAGTAAAATGGCTTGACCACTGATAGAACCACCTTTGATAGAATGCAATATTCGTATTAACCCATAAGCATATAGCCCTTCATATTTGACAACTAGTAGACAATTAATATTTACAGCAGTGTTCCAAAGGACAAAGCTTGTCAATAGATGACGAGGATGAATCGGAACTCTCATCTGAGTAGAATGCTTTTGACTTTTTCTTGTAGAAGGCTTAATTCCCTACAATATGATCACGTAAAATTAGGCTTTCTTTAACGCCTTTCGTTACGGCACACAAAATTTTAAAACAGCCCGTTATTTGATATAATGCCCAAGTAATATTACCTGAGGCTTGGGATTTAAGAACTGCGTTCTGACCATGATTAAGCTCCACTTTAGAAATAACGCCATACAAAGCAAGAACAACATAGATCAACGTTAAATAATAACAGCTTACCCTGCATATCTTATCAACAGATCTATTATTGCTACCTGCCCCCATTATTAGCGTCAACTAACATTCTACATAGTTTCCTATAATGCTGGTGAATCATACTTCATTAAATGCCCATTATCACACTTCCGATTGTATATGTAGACTTGTCGTTAAGCATGGTATCTCAACCAATGCATCTTTCTGAGAAGGATCTAAACTAAAAATAGCTTAAGATAAACCATTTCTGCGTATCGAAGGAGACTAGTTTTCGAACTTCAAGATTGGTCGAGGCTATATTCTTTACCACGTCTGGGAAGAATTCTGACACATCACGGCCTTTTGAGATCATCTTTATGCCGATGTGTAAAGTGAGTTAAGAGAACGCGCATGTGCGCTAACAGATAATCATGATGAAAAAACATCAAAGCTTACAGCAATTAATCTTTTTAGACCATCTAATTTCTCTATCGCGTCTTGAGTCCAAATACTTTCTGATATGTCGCATTTTTTCTTCGGGAGTGTCGAAGTAATGCTGACCAGACGTTGTCTCCAGGCACATTCTCGACTAAGCGCGCTGCTGCTTTTTGAACATGACGCCACAGAAAGATTTGGAACGCCCCAGATTAAAACCCCACCCAATCACTGATGAGCATTTCATGTTTCAAAAATTTAGCACCCACAACAACATAATTATAAGAATAACACTATTAATGAGCGACATGGAGGATTTTAAAACTTCATTCGTGAGCTGAAACGTGGCCACTCAAATTCGCAAATTTATGCGTTCCTCCTCAACGTTAAAAAACCCTACTTGCGAGGTAGATAAGAAGGAGGTGGGAAAAAGAGTATGCTGATATATTACCAACGATATGTAGCGTAGGCAGCGCGAACAAAATACGCGAATACTCCTTTTCAGAATTCGAATGAGAAATAGATCGATTGAATTCTGGGAAAGGATTTATGCATAAAGAAAAAAGAGGTTTCGTTGGATATTAGAATTCTATTGGGCGGACTAACATTGTCGTCGATATGGAGGTGTAAAGAAAAGCTTTGGTAGGGTTGAGACGGGTAGTATTTGGGGAAAAGTAAAGGAAGATTCGAAGGAAGGAGGAGAGGAATTCTATAATTTGATAATGATGCCGGCAATAAGAATAACCTTGTAATAGGAAGCGTAAAAACTTTGACTTTGGTGTCTAACTTAAGACGCTGAAGGAAGATATAGAAAGCATGTACCATTGAATAGTAATAGTTCGGCGTAGGAACTATGCACATTAATGAAAGAACTTGGTATGTTAGGGTTGAGAGCCCAAGGATCTGCAGAGGATGATGACACGAAGGAGAGCTCTATACAAGATGGTTCAAAGAAACTTTCGGCAAAATATATAAATTTGATCGCGTACTATCTTTATCGTTATATAACGTATCAGGCATCAGAAAGTGAATTTATAGTTTACAACGTTTGTACGTAGCTGCCTGTAAGTATCCTAATAACTTCGATCTGTCTAAGCACATTAGCTCCCAACTTCGTTAAAAATGCCCAAACACCAAGAAAGTAACCTATATTTTTATCTAGAGTGAGTGCTAGGTGATACTAGATATGGGTATCTTATTAAGAAGAATCGTGCGTTGTTGCACTAAAAGGCAAAAATTGCGTTAAACGTTCTGCTCGCGATTGTTGTGTCGAAAGGAGAAACGATTAGAGATCAACAATATGTTGAATTGGTCGGCGTTGTTGGATACAATAATCACAATTCGGCTCTAAACATTTGTCATCAGCACATTTACGTTTGTCCTGCGAATGATGAGACATATGTTCTATATGTCATATAAAAGACGGAAAAACACGATATTATTCAAACTCAAAACGAAACAATTATGTAGTTTTATCTTTATCTTTATTAATATAACATTTACATGATTACATTGAGATGAGTAAGAAACTGAATAGGAAACGTAGTCTCGCGGACATTCATCACACAAAAAACTACTTCTATTAGCTTATCAAAATTTTTGTTAAAAGTATCCAGTCACTGCGGTCCGCATACTGATCGTTTCGCTGCCTTCAGGCTTGTCCAGCACGTGATTGCTCGTAGATTTCCCGCGACTGAGTTGTGGTTGTCATAAAAGTTCCTCGCGATAGTTGTGGTTGTCCAAGCTCGATGCGTTTTCTATACTCTTTGGTATAGATAAAAACGCATTTTTTGGTCTCCTCGGAGAACCGGTGGCTTCGCCGAACTTGTTTTCAAGTCAGCGGAAAATGTTTTGTATTTGTATTATGGTTTATGATAATAATAAATTAAAACTTGGAGGGGGGGGGGCGGCCATATAACATAAAATGATTCTGTGGCCGTGGGATGTTTGTGTGATCCCGAATTACGTTTCGGCCACTGCGCTCGGATTCGTTAACTCTTCTATTAACAATGTTAACCGAAACGGTAGAAGCGCTGGCAAGAACGCCGCGGGGTTTGTTATAACGTCCTTGTGGAAAAGGACTGGTGGAGTTGACAATGTGTTGTTGATATTAATACGTCCACCGGATAAGTTGGTTATCAACGAAAAAACTTGTAGGTTTAGTAAAAACATGGAGGTATTAGACGGAAAGTGTCTGTTTAGTCTGTCAGTCCAAGCATACGCTTTATATCCCCAAGCGCATGGGACTGCAGCAACTGAAATATTATTGTTCTTCCATATTGGTTAGCATTTGGCATGTAACAAATTGTCAGCTGGAGATCGACGATGACTTTTTCGATCACCCCCCTTATTATCCTTTAAAATGAGGTTATTATTATTATGCGACTCGATATAACTTTACGCAAATCTATACCGTTGAAAAGCGCAAAAGAACCGCTATCAGATTTATAAAAGATTGTCTTATATCTTGCTTCTTCGTTGAGAAATCGAATTTTGAATCTAGGACACTATTCGGTAGTCGCCGACCATCTCCTAAATTTGCAAAACGAGCAATGCAATTACATATGCACATAATCGACCGTGACCTGCATAATAATAATCCGGCTTGTAATATAAATAGTATACCGTTCGGATTCTTTAAGAGTCCAGAACACAATGGTAACATATTTACCTAAAAATTATTACGGTAAAAGCGGTATATGACGGAATAACGCGGTGAAAGCATCACAAGACAATTTAAACCTGATACGTG